CATATTGATGGAAATTCATATAACAATTAACTCGGTTTACTGTCGGCGTAATGAGTTTAGTTGTACAACTCCGGGGTGTTCGAAAAAACGCGATTCAGCATAGTTTCTCTATTAAGCGAAATAAATGCACTCCTGAAATCCAGTTTGAGTAAAATTGAGCACTTCGGGTGGCTTTGCGCGCTATTATTTTTCAAAGGTTGCTTATATGAGGAACATTAGAGAATTTGTCTGAGCTCTTGTTGGTATTTGAAAGTTAACACGAAAAAACTTCTTGAACAAACATATGGTCATTATTCTTCTCAACTAAACACACTTTGAAAAACAAATAGAAATCTCCCATTTATTGTTTTGGCTCGAAAATTTTTCAAAAAACAGTGCAAATTTTCATCACGAATATGAACATCAGATACTCGAGGATTGTTTTTTTTTGCAAAAGTGCTCTATTGACTGTCAAAGTTAGGGCTTCTGATGTATAAACTTGCTATTTTTTTTTCGCTCAATTTCGATTCAGAAAACAAAATATCTTTTTCTACCTTGTTTTAATCGGGCATTTTTTCCATAGGCTTGGTATAACACAGTATTACATCATTTGCGTTCACATCAACCCCAATGCCGCAGCGAACAAACGCCAAAAAGTAGCTTTAAAAGGGTAAGAAATAAAATTCACACAAACTCAAAATTTGCATATAGTACTTTGGAATATAATTCGCTAAAGGCAACCTTAATGAATTATTATGCAATAAATTGGAAAGTATAAGGCCAAATGTTGTGAAAATGATGAATTTCAAAAATCTCGATAAGCACTATTATTTAAGATCTAGGTTGGAGGAAAAGTATCATGGTGCTATCAAATAAAACTACTCTTGAGTTAAAACAAAATTTGGAAAGTGGAAGAGGGAGTGGAAAAGTAACAACGATGATTAAACAGAGGTTATACAATGACGCCCAAATTCTTGCTCGAAACTGTCGGAATTCGACACTTACCCGAGTGAAAGCAAAAGTTTGAAAACTTGTTGATATTTGAAAACTGAAGGCACGACATGGAAACTAATTAGCGGGAGAGCTATTGTTTAGTTGAATGCAAGATATAACAAGTTCATGAATTTGTCAGGAAAACTATAGAATTATCAACTTCGATGCAATTTTATTTTGGAATGCCAATTTTGTTAGTTACTTGCTACTTCTAAATTTCAGTGTTCGAAGCATACGTAACATTTTTACTCACCGAAGCAAAGCTGAGTTTTGACTCACTTGGATACAATACAAATATTGATTGTCATGATTGTCAGCTAGCCGAAGGCCACCATTCGAAAAAGGAGCTAATAAAATTTCGCCCAAAAACCCATACCTTTGTCTCGAAGAAAACTCATTTCAATTAAAATTGTCGCCTAAAATCATTGCCATCATCACGTCGAAGTTTATCAAAGGATAAATTGTCAAAAAATATTGGAAAGTCACCCGTTGAGCCCGAAAAAAAATCATGGAAAGCTTTAACACAAAAATGATTTTTGAAATTTCAAGCTTTGTGACCTCTTCGAAGCACATGATCAAAAAAATATAGAGTTTTGTTCTTTGACCGACGGAAATTGAGGCAAAAAACAACAAAAATTGTAGACCGCTTTCAAGGCGAAAAAACATCTACACGAAAAAAAATGCAGCATAAATTATACAAAATCTCAAAACGCGCATTATTCGAAACTTCAGATAGAGCATTTTTCAAGTTTAAAATAGCTGAGCTATCAAGAAAAAGTAGTGCTGAGGAAAGTATCTCGACAACATAAGTAGAAAAAAGTAGTAGGAACATGGAACTTCAAAAAATCAGAAATTTACGAGTAATTTTTAGATTTTTTGTTTGAAAGATTTTGCGCCGATTTAAAATCTCAATACAAAATTGTTTTTGATCAATTTGACCAATGTTTACCAAATTCAAACATATTGAGAATTTAGAATCAGAATTACTAGGAACGTAGGAAAAAAAACCAATTGCAAGCCCTGGCCCGAGAAAAAGGACATTGATTACAATTTTTCTCCAGTAATGGATACGTAAGATGAGAAAAGCAAAAAAATACACATTCTTTATAATGTTCAAATTGAACAAGATAAAAAAATCTATTTGAAATACTGAAAAAAATGGCAGTAGAAAACATAGATGAAAAATTGACATTTCAAACGATAACATTTTCAAATTATGAGCAAAACTCACCAAAAGTTTTGAAAAACTGGTTTTTGATCTGATAGCAAATGAGCCTTTGTAAATCCCCGCTGATTGCAAAAGATGCTTATCATAGCAAGAAAAGTAGGCTTAAAACCTTTTTGAGTTGTGAAAAAAAATCAGTTTACAAGAGCATTGTTAAAAAAATTTACACCAATAAAATTGCGCATAAACTCAACATTTCAATTCTCTCCATTGCAATTGATTTGGCAATTACAGCACAGAAAAAATTGGCCTAAATTACCTGTAAGATCAAGAAAAAAAAGAAGAAAAAATAGTTTTTTTTTACCAAAAAAATGACCTTTTCAGTTTTTGTTGTTTTATAAGCACCGAGGCAAAGCTGAGTTGGTTAAAAAAGAAAGGGATTCTTGAAGAATTCTTGAAGCAAAAAACAACAAAAATGCCAACCGCTTTTAAAGCGAAAAACTACCCGAAAAAAATGCAGCATTTATTTTTCTCAGAACATGCATTATTCGAAACTTCAGATACATTTTCTTTCAAGTTTAAATTAACTGAGCAGGGCTGAGCACTACAAAAAAAGAGTAGTGCTGAGGAAACTATCTGGACAATATTAGTAGAAAAACGATAGTCGGAACATGAGGCTTCATTAAGTCAGAAAATCTACAAGCATTCTGTTTCGAGTTTTTGCTTGAAAGGTTTTGTGCCAATTTAAAATCTCAATGCATACTTGTTTTTGATCAATTTAAACCAATGTTTACCAAATTCAAACTTATTGAGAATTTAGAATTAAAATTGCTAAAAACTTATGAAAAAACTCAGACAAAACTAATTACAAGACCTGGGCCGAGAAAAAGGACATTGATTACATTTTTTCTTCACCAACGGAAACCTAAGATGAGAAAGGCAAAAAAGACACATTTTTTAAACTGCTCAAAGTTGACCAAAGTGATCTATTTAAAATACAAAAAACACACAAAACAAAAAAAAATCAAAACAACAATCAAGAAACTGATCAAAAAATTGGAAAAAATGGTTTCTGATTGGATAGCAAATAAGTCTTTTAAATCCCGCTGATTGCCGAAAACGCTTATCATTGCAAGAAAAATAGGCTTGAAATCTTTTTGACTGGTGAAAAAAAAGTTGGTGTACGAGAGCACTGGTAAAAAACTTACACCAAAAAAATTGCACATAAACACAATATTTAAATCAACTTCATTGCAATTGATTTTGAAATTACAGAACAAAAAATTGAACAAAAATACTTGTAAGATCAAAAAGTTAAAAGTCAAAAGAGGTTGTAATATAATTTACAAAAATGAAAATTTCAGTTTTTGTAGTTTTTCAAAAAAGCCGGCAAAGTTGATTTCAAGCTTTCTAAACAAGATTTCCGAAAGTGCATTGATTTCAAAAAAGACAAGAAACTGCTAGAAAAAAAGAAAGTAGGCCGGTATTTCAGCCGATAACTAGTAAATCATCCCAAATTTGCGGCAAAAAATCACATTACAAACTCTTGAATTTATCACATACAATTAATCAACCCTTTCAAGCTGTAATTGTAGGACTTACTTTGCATTAAACATGCCAGGTAAATTGACAATCATTCAAAAATTCCCATTTTATGAACTAAGTTATTTACATGAGAAAATCTAGTACCCGATTGCAACACTCTCGTTGATCGCAAGGGTCAAATTTCAAGAATAATTTCCAAAACAAAAAAAGTTACCCGAACCAATTGATTGTTCAAAAACATTTTAGCAATTTGATTAAAATCAAAACAAATTTTTGACAATAATATTTCGCATATCAACCCTTCACTCAAGAGTCCTTTTACCAAATGAATATGGCCATTTGCTGATCCTCCCACTTTCGAACTTCAATTTTCAAAAACTAATTTAACATTTTTATGGGGCAAGGAAACTTGGCATGGTGATCAAACCAATTGTTAACACCTTTGTTCATGAAGCGTTAAGCTTTACAAAAAACAAATTTCACAGGTTGTGCATGAATGCAATAAGCTAAATGCAACCAGAATGAATTTGTATGCAAGAAATTGGAAAGTATACGGCGAAATGCTGTAGAAAATTTGCATTTCACAAACCTCGCGAATTATATTGACTTGGAAAGTTCTGAAATCGAATTTTGGTTTTCAACTGTTTCAAGAAACAAACTTTTTTTAAAAGTTTTTTTTGATGAACTAAAAAAGCATCGACTGTTGAAGTTTATCAAAGCATCGACTGTTTCAAAGCACTACCTCCTGTTGCACGTAAAAAGTAGAACTTCCACATTGGCAACAGTAGTACTTTTATTTGTGACTTAGGTTGGAAAAAAGTTACACCCCGTGCTATCACACAACGCTCCGCATCGTCTCAAAAAAACTCAAAAATTTATTGCCTCACTAAAACCTCCTTGATTTGTTCACCAGTTCGCGTTCATTAGTTAGGTTTTTTATTTGATGGCGTATAAATGAGAATTTACTCCAAGTGAAGAGATAAACCCCGAGAAGTTTTTTTTCCCAATGTGGCAAAAAATCTAGAATGTGAATCCATACACTATTTCAAATGTTACTGATTTTCAGAGGAATCTCAAGTATTTTTCTTTTCCCGAGGATATTTGGAAGACTCCGGAATCAGTATTTCAGTCGGCCATAACGGATCATGTGAAGAGACTCAATCTTTTTCTTCTCAATAGATGCAATATCTATATTTTTCAATAAAATTTTTGATCGGCTTTTATTTTCCTCATTAACATAACAACTCGTGTTATCTGGAGGATTTTTTTTGCCTTCAATGGCTTACAACTATCGCTGCTGACAAGTTTTTAAAATTGATTGAACTTTGGAAAAATCAACTACTGAAGAAAAAAACAAGAAATAATTCATAACAATAAAATCATCATCTACAAGATGTATTATGTTCTTTCAAAGTCTTCAATATTCTGTTGTAAAGTCCCAAAATAGGCACCTCCTCTTTCGCTTCGTAGGGCTCAATGCCTCCACTGAACTTCCAATATTCGGGCAACCCCTTCGCACTCTTGTACCTCGCCTTCTCGTCGCCTAGGAAACAAATTTAAAAAATAGTAGCTGTCAGGATTGGCTTTAATTTTTTTTCTAAGCAGTATAATTGGCTCAGGAAAAATTTAATAACCTTTGCTTTAGAAAGTCCTCAGTTAAACTATATTTTTAATCTGACCAGTTGTCTCTTATGCCTCATTCGGCTATCAACTGTAAAGCAGTAATTATTAAATGCTTATACTTACAACTAGTCCATTAAAAAATCAATTGTGCTTTTCGTTTAAAAAAATTGAATTAAAATGGTTCGTTGTTTTTCTTGTGAAATCATAAACAGAATAAATGTCCTTGACCGAAAGGTCTTAGCTTCATTTTAATAGAAAAAGAGGATAGTTAATAATTTTTTGTGGAATATAGAAGAAATCAAAAGACTGCATCTGCTTACCCAATTGGATTTCATCTGACTCCGGCGGTGGGTTCATGTACAGTTCCTCCAGCACCTCCGGGTCATTCTTGTCCGGAAAGAGGAACATGTGGGGCTCTGTGGGTGGCACACACTGCTGGTACTGTCTGATTGCATCTGTAGTCTCAGGGCCCAATTTGAACACCTTTGGCTTTTCTACAATGCCACTCGAAGATGTATTTGCAGCGTCTTCTTTTGCTTCAAATAGAATGCATATAAGGAACGACAAATCATTAATGAAGGATAGTAAAAAAAGAACTAAAATAAGATCTGACCGCTCTTTACGCATAATTGCTGTTGCGCCAAAATTAAAACGAGTGCTACAAAAATGGTCCAAAGAGCTGTTTAAAGGGGCTTTTAGCACGTAATGATCAAATATTAGCGTTTTTTGATCCCTTCAAAATAGTATACATTGGCGTTAATTGACCCCTTTGGTGGGGTTACCAAAATGGATATCGTAAAACAGTACCAAAGGGGGTTGGGTCCATTTGTGAGGCTATGGTTCTAAGTTCTTGCTGATTATATGAAAAATTTTTTGTCATGCGTATCGAAAAATTTCAAAAGTAATTTGTAGATACATACCTGGTGACTCATTGACTTCGTTCCCAGCATCGTTTTCTTCAATCGCGCATTCTGGATTAGTTTCGTTTTCGGTGCCAGATGAACTCGTTGTATTCGGTACAGTTTTCTGCCTCAATGTCCTAACAGTATCTTCGACTGTACTTGCACATGACATTCCATCGTCAATGTCCGAATTAACTTCTGCTTTTTCAGTATTTATTTCTACAACTTCCCCATCCTCATCCGGTTCAAAAAAATTCCCGTTCTCTGCTGTATCTTTTCTTCTCTTTGTGACTATCGACACATCCTCATCCAGAATAAAAAGTCTAAGAGAGTCAGTCAGCCAGTGGGATATGCTAACAGGAGGGGGCATGGGGTTCAGCAGGGGGGTGTCTTCGGGTAGAGGTGAGTCGGGTGGAGGGGGAATGAATCCTCGGAAGGGAGGGTCCTCATTTGGCTGGATGATGGGCATCACTGGTTCGTCCTCACAGATATCCATGTCTGCCGGGTCAGTGTTGCTCACTGAAATAAAGAAGTTAAGCTAAGACGATTTATCCATAAGGAACAGGACCAACATACGAGCTGTCCACCATTTCCCGAACAACCGTTGTTGCGCCCCTGCTTCAAAATTATATGCCCATTTTGGTTATTTTATGGGCTTGGTAATGTTGCATCACTCTCAAGCAACGAGCATCATGGTGGGACTCGAACATCCCACCGTTCGATTGAGAGGCGCAGACAGCCACTTCACAATTACTCCACTAAGCAGATACAAGCACTTCACCAGAAGCTGTTTATCATCAGAACAATTAGTTAAGACTTTGAGTAGCCATCTTAACATGACATAGAGCACACTTTTGCTGTCGATGTTTGGCACATCATTCATTTGTTCTCCCGGAATTAAATGAGAAACATCGCACTTTATGACCTATGGAATTAAACCATGACTTCAACTTCCACATAAAACAATCTGATAAATGAACCTATCATCAGATTTAACTTTTTTGCAGCCCTGTTTAAAACAAACTTGCAAATTTGACACCAATTTAACCAAAACGCGTTGCTGAAATTTTTCATGTTCACGATAAAACCCGGGGATTAAAACTTACTGTCCAGTCGCATTCGTTTAGCTCCAAATGAATCATCCCCTCCCATGTCTTCCCCTTGATTGTACCCGTGTCTCTTGCCCCTCCCACCACTCTTCTCTTCCTCATTTGTGTTCACGGGGGCGTCCTTGGCCAGGAATCTGTTCCAGGCCACCAACTGCTGATGTTTCTGCATTGGGGGCATCGGAGGCCGCATCTTATTGCACTCGTCTCTCACTCCTAAGATGAACAAACACTTACTTAAAGTTATAATTGATTTTCATTTATCAATTATTCTAAGTTATAAATATTTTAACATCATTCCACATCATGCTCATATTTCTTTCAATATTTTTTTTGTTACACACGATACATAATCACAATAGATTATTTCAATTTCTGACTCAATGTATTATTCAGAAAATACCATCAACACCATTAAGTGTTGCACAATCTTCTGGTTTCCGTCAATGCTCTTTTATCCTGTTGCATCTCTTTTCGATCTGAACTCAACACCATCTGAATTTGTTCAAACTGCAGTTTTCAACACTACCAAAGTTGAATTGATCAACCTGCACCTCATACCCTTCGATGAAACTTACAATACTATTCGCTAGTGATTTCTTATACCTGGTTTTAATATTGACTACCTTCTGGAATTTTGGAGTTGAATCCAGGGTATGTGACCAGTTTGTCGATGTTGTAGGTGACCTTGTTCTCTTTTTCTGCATTGGCGGCGTCCTGCTTCGCCTTGCTATCTGCATCTTCCATACAAACCACCTCTCCATCTTCCACCAACTGGCTATCACGCTCTCCTTGGATCAGATCCAGACCTACGATTGAACAATATAAATAGTAACAACCTAGCAAGCCAATCCTCAATGACTCTTGAAGCAAGTTTGATCAAACAACAGTGTGGTCTAATATCCTTGCTTATCCAGCTTCTAATTACCGGAGGAGGGGTCAATATTATCAGGTGGTCTAAGAAAGTCAATTCGAATTTAATATCTAGCGGGCTGGCAACGAAAAGCCATTTTATTCTGAAAGCCTTTTAATGACACAGATTCGATGACTGAAAGATGATGCTCGAAAACTTCGAGCCAATTTAGTCGTAAAACATTGGAGTAAATGTATTTATAAGATAAAAATTCGGATTTCACTAGACTATCTTAAAGACTTCAAACTTAATTTCATTTTTTCCCGTCCAATAAAAATGGGGAGAAATTTTGTGTTCGGGCGTTTTCGTTTTGTTTTCCACGCAAAATGAGTGATCACAGCCTGTCCAGGAGTGACCGAGCTCACTAATAGACCTTACCTGAGCTCTGCACTTCAGCTTCTATCAGCCATCCGGGCGGGTATCCCAGCTGTCTCATCTTGTACACGAACAGGGGCAGAGTTTTCCTCTGCAGTCCAAGAGCCTCCCTCAGTTCCTGACTGATTCGACCTAAACGAAAAGGCTATAATTTTTACATAGGCCATGTGGCAAAATTAACAGTTCAAAACTCATATGATTACGAGTAGGGCAAAACTAATTGAATCTCGATTTTGCTCTAAAATATGAATTCTTGCAAACAGGTACAAAGCTTGCATTTATTACTGGGATACTGAGACATAACGTTATATTGAGCGTTCAACTAGATCGTCTGGGTAAATTTAATTGGTTAATTTCATTTAAATTTGTCTTTTAACTTATTTTGTGACGATACTCACCTGGTGTGAACTTAGTGAACCTCTTATCCACTTCCGACACTTCCAGATGGTATCTGGTGGACTTGGCAGCCAGTCCTGGCGCAGCTCCGAACCTCTCGATCAACGCTTGTCTGTTCTGACTAATCCTAACTAGATCTCTTTTCTCAGTGCATTCTCTCAAGTTATGAGGTCCACCACAGTTAAAGCATGACATCTGGAACTTCTTGGTCTCTGACGGTTTATCTGGATCACCTATTGTCATATTCCACTTCTGTGCAAATGATGGAATGATCCATCCATCTGTCAACGCCGGCTCAAAATTAACCAGCGGCTGCCCGAATGAGTCAACTAAGTATTCTCCAGAAGCGAGAAACGAATTGTAGATCATTTTCACTTTGTTATTCGCTCCTGATAAATCTTTTTGGTTCAAAAGTGAGTACAAATTAAATGAAGCATGTTGGTACATCGGCCTATACTCATCCGCTTTTTTCTCCCGCCTCAATTTACTTTCTGTAATGGGCGGTAAGTTCAAAAGAAACTCTTCAATGACATCTTTGTAGTATCTGGCTCGCGGGTTGTCTGGAATCACCACCAGCGCAACGGGTGTATTCATTTCATCTGGTAGATGATTATCTAGCGACAAAAACTGTTGAAGAAGTTTGTTCTGTGATTCTAGATGTTGGTTGTGCTCTCGAAGAATCTCAATTTCTCTTTCCAGGTCACAATTTTCGTATTCTGCGAGAAAACATCAGTTCAGTGTGAAGACAAACAACATAGGCAGACAGTGAAAAGAACAAAAAATATTAGTAGAAAATTAAATTTTAAAAAAACTGCAGCTTCAAACATTTGATTTATTTTCATTTTCAATAAAGGTTCCCTATAATCAAGGCTACTGAAAGTTTCTGAAGCATGAAAATTGAGATCAAGGTTGAACTTCGAAATACTCTAAAACTTATATGAATGAAACGGTAGCAGCACAAAACCGACCAAAGTACAACCACACGTTTGTCGCCGGATTTAATATCATACAGATTTAAAATTGTGCGCAAATTCAGTGCTGAGTTTGGCCTCGTAATGACCCCGAAAAACACTGCATTGAACCGCAGCAGTTATTTTCATAATCATGTGCTTTAGTTTACTTGTATACAATGATTTGTAAACCCATAAACTCTCATTGCCTCACCCAAACTGAATCTCAAAATTTTCATTGTCTCAACTTCAATCTCAGCCTAACACCCAAATGTGCAGTGATGGCATCGCATCCACTTCTCTTTCTGAGGAAATGACTTCTTTATAAATTTTCCCGCTAACATTAATGATCGGACAACACTGTACTTCTAATGGCCCAAACCAAATGTGTAATTTATAGCAGCAGCTGCGCGGGGCGAAGTTTGGTACAACGCATGTTCAGGCTACAACCAAGTTAAATGCAGCGGCTCAGGGGTGATTATTATGACACTTAAGTTGCTCTCGCTGCATCTGCTAGAGTTCTTTAGCTACAGAAACCCAAACACTCTCCTTACTCGAACTTCACTCAACACTCGATCACATGGCAATGGCTCCATAAACTCCACAACAGCAGAACACAAGCATGAAATTAATCAGAGGATATCACACGAAAAAAAGTTTAAAAATGAAATTCAAGATGCTGGGATCGATTTCTAATTTTGCTAAGAACAGAAATGTGGGATCGAATATGCTATCCACAAGCTCAGAAAACAATACCACAAAACGGAAACCGATGCCGTTCCACTGAGAGACACTGAAATGCTTTCAACTCTCTTAACCGATAATTGGCCGTGATATACATCGAGTATAGTTGTCCACCCTTACCAGCAGCTAGAAAGAATTCTCTTCTCATCCAAAAAAAACTCTTTGTGAACGAGAAAATTACACTCTCCAAAAAAGACCCACAGAGATCCAGCAGCAATGGCCATATAAAGGGCTGACAACTCTAACCTCACTAAAGCTAGTACAGGAAGATAACGTGACACAGAAATGGTATGCGGACGACAGCAACACAAAATACAAATTTTTAAATCTACTAAAAATTCTGGAGAACATCGTTAAACATGAAAAACACTAAAGTTAACATCTTGAGACATCAAAATTTCAGCTACTAGTATGAGATGAAAAACAAAATAAAGCGATTTTTTTTCGAACTATCGTGAAAAAGAGTAGAAAATGCGATTAGGGTACTTGGCTTCATCGCAGAAGCTGAAACAATATAAAATTTTCCTCGAAAAAAAATAGAATGAACAAAACAAACTACAAAAAACAAAGAGATTATCTGTGCAAAACGTTCATGCTGGCAAACACGCCTGCACAAAAAGTTTTAAATGACCAGAACTACCAGTTAATTCACAAAAGTTCAAACCATATCTAATGAGCAAGGATATTTAAGCTTTCAATTATGCGAGATATTATTTATGCCACTCAAAATGGGCTGCCTTAGCAAAAAATTCCCTTAGATAGATCATGAATTTGTCAGCTGTTTTAGATAAAAACTTTCTGAACTTTTGTATAAGAAATCTTTCTAGCGAATTCATCTGAATACCAGGAATATTTCATCTTCTCTATTTAGTCTTGATCACAGCTGAAAACGGTGCAATCTGATTCATCAGTTTAAACCTCTAGATTGTAGCGCTTTGAACTGAGAATGATGGAGGTTCTTCCTATAACTGCCCCCCAGCAAACTGAAATCTCTCTAAATACATAAACCACAATTTGGGGTACTAGTTTGTTCGCCTGAGGCGCTATATTGAAAACGAGCCTATCTTCATAAGAAAAACTAACCGTTGTAATTTGATTCGCCCATGCAGTCGTCTTCAAATGACATGTCTAAGTTGCCATAGAACCCTTTTGCGTTTTCGATTTCCGAATCATTATGAGAGACACCTCCATTATCGTTTGTGTTTGAGAGATAACTTGATTCCAATGTTGCTGGCTTAGTCGAGAATTTCGGTTTGATGGGAGAAACAATGCCAGTCATTGACCTTTGCGCTGAAAGAAAGTCAGACATTTCATCGTCGTTAGTGGCTGGAATATCGCCATCTAACGATGAGGTGGACTCAACAATGGACGTTTTTTCATCTCCAAAGTTGCTAGTTGCCTCGCCGTTGATATTTGAGTTCTTAGTAGGCTCACCATCTTCAAGTGAAATTGGAAGTTGAGTTGCAGTGGAATCGGTTTCTTCGCTTGTCATATTCTGCATTTCAATTTGAAAAACTCATGCTTCTTAAAACATGTATGCAAGTGAGATTATATATTATAGAGTAAAAAACAAGCAAAATAAAAAAAATCAGTCCCGTTCGTTGGTACCAAAAAGTTCAACTGTTCAAAGATTACAGCGCCAAACCATCTTCATCGGTTTCAGATACCCGAAGCGCACGCTTCGATAAACAGTTCTGATTTTTGTATACAGTCGTACCCTCAGTTGGCGTGACTGCAGTTGTAACATACGCCCAAAAATTACACAGCTAGCAAAAAATTACACAGCGACGAAAAGTGGAAACCTAGACAGTTGGTTCATGTCAACTCAAGGGCCGATTTCAACCGTATCGATTTTAATTGTGAGGACATCAACACTTGTCATCTTCTTTTATCATTATTACTTCCATATCTAGAAAATGACTATGATACTCGGTTACTACGATACTTTTGACCTTCTGATTACTTAAAAATTAAGAGAAAAAACTCAAGGGCTGTCAAATGAATAGCAAATTTTAGGCTTCCAGCCGAACGCAGCTTACTTAGCTTTTGCTAACATGTAAGATAACCATGTCTGGGTCCCACTATCCACAGACCACGTGGTTATAACTAAAAACAAAACAGCAATGGGTACAACAGTAACCTTTCCTTACTTTCGACTATTCGTGCTCTGCGATAAAACTGCGAATTTGGAATTAAATTGTCGTTGAGGGTAGTAATAGCCAAAAAATTTAATTGAGTGAAGAAACAAATTCGAAGTAAATATTAGGAACAGGTAACTACGTTACGGTCCTATGTCTGCAGACCAGGCTACAAAACTGTTGACATTCGACCAGAATGACCTGAAATGCATGTATTCAACGAATTTTTATTGGAGCAGTTCAGTGGGAAGATTTACTGTTTATAACAATTAACAGAGTTAATCGTTCAATTGAACGTATTCGAAGGGGTCAATTTGGTTTGATGGAATTATTTTTAAATTTTCGTAGTCGTGGATGACACGTAACAATTTTATTGTTCGAGACAACTGAAAACCCGCGAATATCAGACAGACGATTTTCGCTAATCAGAACAAGACGTTTGACAAATATAACGAACTGTAATAATTTTTTCAAAGAACAGTGCTCCAATTTGTATAGAACCCTTTTGCGTTTTCGATTTCCGAATCATTATGAGAGACCCCTCCATTATTGTTTGTGTTTGAGAGATAACTTGATTCCAATGTTGCTGGCTTAGTCGAGAATTTCGGTTTGATGGGAGAAACAATGCCAGTCATTGACCTTTGCGCTGAAAGAAAGTCCGACATTTCATCGTCGTTAGTGGCTGGAATATCGCCATCTAAGGACGAGGTGGACTCAACAATGGACTTTTTTTCATCTCCATAGTTGCTAGTTGCCTCGCCGTTGATCTTTGAGTTCTTAGTAGGCTCACCATCTTCAAGTGAAATTGGAAGTTGAGTTGCAGTGGGATCGGTTTCTTCGCTTGTCATATTCTGCATTTCAATTTGAAAATCTCATGCTTCTTAAAACATGTATGCAAGTGAGATTATACATTAGAGAGTAAAGAACGAGCAAAATATAAAAAATCAGTCCCGTTCGTTGGTGCCAAAAAGTTCAACTGTCCAAAGATTACAGCGCCAAACCATCTTCATCGGTTTCAGAAACCCGAAGCGCACGCTTCGATGAACAGTTCTGATTTTTGTATACAGTCGTACACTCAGTTGGCGTGACTGCAGTTGTAACATACGCCCCAAAAATTACACAGCTAGCAAAAAATTACACAGCGACGAAAAGTGGAAACCTAGACAGTTGGTTCATGTCAACTCAAGGGCCGATTTCAACCGTATCGATTTTAATTGTGAGGACATCAACACTTGTCATCTTCTTTTATCATTATTACTTCCATATCTAGAAAGTGACTATGATAATCGGTTACTACTATACTTTTGACCTTCTGATTACTTAAAAATTAAGAGAAAAAACTCAAGGGCTGTCAAAAGAATAGCAAATTTTAGGCTTCCAGCCGAACGCAGCTTACTTAGCTTTTGCTAACATGTAAGATAACCATATGTCTGGGTCCCACTATCCACAGACCACGTGGTTATAACTAAAAACAAAACAGCAATGGGTACAACAGTAACCTTTCCTTACTTTCGACTATTCGTGCTCTGCGAAAAAACTGCGAATTTGGAATTAAATTGTCGTTGAGGGTAGTAATAGCCAAAAAATTTATTTGAGTGAAGAAACAAGTTCGAAGTAAATATTAGGAACAGGTAACTACGTTACGGTGTTATGTCTGCAGACCAGGCTACAAAACTGTTGACATTCGACCAGAATGACCTGAAATGCATGTATTCAACGAATTTTTATTGGAGCAGTTCAGTGGGAAGATTTACTGTTTATAACAATTAACAGAGTTAATCGTTCAATTGAACGTATTCGAAGGGGTCAATTTGGTTTGATGGAATTATTTTTAAATTTTCGTAGTCGTGGATGACACGTAACAATTTTATTGTTCGAGACAACTGAAAACCCGCGAATATCAGACGGACGATTTTCGCTAATCAGAACAAGACGTTTGACAAATACAACGAACGGTAGAAATTTTTTCGCGATTCCCGAGAAGCAGGAGAACTATTGGGAGGACTTTGCTACCCTTCTTGGTCACGAAGAAGACATCTCTTTGTCCGGATTCAGGAACCCGGAAGGGTATCGGAGAAAGAATGGAAACTATACTTTAGCAACCTTTTATCTTCCCGAAATGTCCTGAATAGAATTAAACTACCATCAAGTTCATTTTCAGATAATTGAAAGCTAGGAGTTTAGGGAAAGGTTTAATCCATATCCGATAGAGATGATGCTTTTCATCAACTGAAAAAATCAATAGTAATATAAAAAATAAAGAGTAGCCCCGTTTTCAGTAGTGACCTGGTGGTATAGGGGTACTGAGACCCAGGCATGAACTCACTACTTTTTCATGTTTTTAATTTAATTTGCGCGCATTGGGCGATAGCCTTTAACTTATAGCAATTTTTTTTATCGAACCGATGTTAGTGAACCACACATTGAACCGGCTTGGTTGAGACGGTTAAAAGCATATGAAGCTGTGTTTAGAAGCTAGCCATTCGTTTCAGAAAGTAGCTAATTTTTCCGTCGGTATGTACTTCCGGGCGAATGTTACAAGCATCGTTACGGATGAAAAACACGGTCAAACGTTAGTTAAACATAACGGTAAAAAATTTCGTTATAATCCTATTTCTGCAGACCATGTTAAGTTACAAAAACTAAGTAAGCTGCGTTAGTTTAGAAACTAACGTGGCTTTTAATCAGAATAATGATGCACTTAGTTCGCTATGCTTAAAACAATTCTTCAAATTCATGTGAACAAACAACCTGGCCCAGAGTGATACAACCGCATCGTCCATTAAAAATAAAATGAATTACAAAAGGGGCCCATCAGTTTAGTTAATGTCAGTGCACAAACTAGTTGGGGCCAAAACAGCTTTTTAAAAATGCTTTTATATCAGCAAGCTATCATTGTATCATTGAAGTCATATATCAGCATTAAAATTGTAAAGTTATTTTATCTTAGCCGCCCTGCCTTTACAAAAGCGTTAATAGGATTGTTGACATATTGAACTTTGCGCAGAGGTTGGCACCCTTTTATCTATAGAATAGAGCTCCTGCAGAGCGCGAAGTTTATTTCAGTTCTTGTGTAATTTATCGATTCTGGGTAGCTTCCTTGTCTTTTTCCGCTCAATTTCTCGACTAATCGCTGCATGCTCTACAAGAGCTCTGGGAAGCACCTACATTAAGGGAGTATTGATAATACAGGCAGACCACTCATGATATTGCTGCAGTACCGAGGCAATGAAAGTCTGAGATTTACAAATATGGTGCAGAACATGTGTGAAAATGAGGGCACGCGAGCGGGAATGTCATGGGATGTTATGGGCCAAGCTAACACTAACATCAAGCTACTCACATTAGAAGCATTTTCCATCTGGAAAGAGAGACCGAGATTAATCACACGCAATGAATTTAGGAGCAGGGAACTGATCCCTAAACTGTAGTTCCAAAAACGATTTGTCGGCTAATATAAAAACAAATAAATTTCGAAATAAAAAATTGACAACTTTTGAAATTAAAAAAAAAGACAAATCAAAAAATTAATTTTAATTTTAATTTATTTAAAAGATAAATTTAAAAGAAGGTGTCAATGTCTCATTTAAGTCTGATGATATAATTATAAGGTAAATTTGGCGCAAATTTCAAATAAGCAAACTTCTGATTAGTTGAATTTTTGTTATTTTGTATAGTCCTTGTCTTAGGATACTTTTATGATCGATGATCATCTATAAAGTTCTTAGACTTTTAAACCTGAAAATGGAAAAGTGTGCGAAGACATTCGTAGTTTAGATTTTAAGTTCCTTCTATCTCTACGGTTAAAATTATTTGCTGACGTTTGGATTTTCTAAGCGTTTTGAGATATTTATACGCTTCTTTGAGTTTTCGAGAAAGTATGGCATGAGGCTTGAAAATTTTCACGTAGTAGAAAGCGCGGCTAAATTGTGAACCCAGAGTTTGTTTGCTTTGATGTCAGGTCGTGCCTCATCTTCAGTTGTAGTTGAACTGTTGACAAAGCTTCCGCCTTGCAACGGCTGAAGTTTCGGCTCAACCTTGACTTCATCGCAAACCTCTCTCATGAGGCTCGCGAGTGTGTCTCTAATTTCATTGCGTTTTATGTGTGTGTAACCGCCCTTTGCACAGTGAAGGGCAAGGGTTAAATTAAATTTTTCACCACGTTCATATGTGATTGGGGTTTTTGTCGACTCCCACATCTTAAGTAAATACCATCGCTGAATTGTGATTTGTTAAGATTAAAGTTGTATCTGCTTTTTGGTAAAGTATTGAGCCAGTTAGAAGCTCTTTTATCAGAGGCCGGGTCCGTTGCGTCTTTATCAGGTTCACATAAGGCTTTTTTTCAAATTGTTCGATTAGTTTTTAATTTTTTCATTTTCGTACAA